AAATTGCCTCCGACTCATAGCCACCCTATGCACAGAAGAAGGAAACACTGCCTGTTCCCATGCCAGCTCCATGATCCCCGCTATACTTGACCCCATAGCCGCAGCCACTGTGTCAATCCATCTCATTGAGAGCCTTCCCTCCCTCGTCGACCCTCCACCTTACCAAGCATTACATCCCTCTCCAGAAAATGGTCCCTTCTGACAACATGACCAAAGTAGGTGAGACGAAGTCTGACCATCTTGCCTCCAAGGAGCATTCTGGCTGCACTTCCTCCAGGACAGATCTGTTAGTTCTTTTAGCAGTCCACAGTACTTTCAGCATTCTTTGCCAGCACCACATCTCAAAAGGATCAATTCCTCTTCCGTCTTCTTTATTCATTGTCCAGCTCTCACATGCATATGAGGGGACTGAAAACACCATGGCTTGTGTCAGGCACACCTTAGTCCTCAAGGAGACATCCTTGCTCCTCATCACTTGAAAGAGGTCCCTTGCAGCTAATTTGCCCAGTGCTATACGTCCTCTGATACCCTGACCGCTGCTTCCATTGGCATCGATTATAAAACCAAACAATCTGAACTGTCTGACAACTTCAATCTTTTCTCCATTTCTCATGATGCAGCTTATAGGTAGAGTTCTGAGAATTTTTGTTTTCTTTATATTGAAATGTAATCTATACTGCAGATGTATTCTTCAACCTTTATCAGTAAGTGCTTCAAGTCATCCTCATTTTTAGCAAACAAAGTTGTATCATCAGCATATCGCAGGTTGTTAATGACCCTTCTTCCAATCTTGATGCTATGTTTCTTCATATAATCCAGTTTCTCAGATTAGTTGCTCAGCATATAGAATGAATAAGTATGGTGAAAGGATACAAGCCTGACACACTCCCTTCTGGATATTAAACCATGCAGTGTCCCCTTGTTCTATTTGAATGACAGCATTCTGGTCTATGTCCAAGTTCCTCATGAGTACAATTAAGTGTTCTGAAATTCCCATTCTTCTCATTGTTATCCACAATTTGTTATGATCCACACAATCAAATGCTTTTGCATAGTCAATAAAACACAAATAAACATCTTTCTGGTATTCTTTTCTTTGAGTCAAGATCCATCTGACAGCAGCAATAATATTGCTTGTTCCACGTCCTCTTCTGAATCCAGCTTGCACCTCTGGAAGTTCTCTGTCAATATACTGCTACAACCATTTTTGAATTATCTTAGTAAGATTTTATTTATGTGCAGTATTAATGATATTGTCCATTAATTTACTCATTCTGTGGGATCACCTTTCTCTGGAATGGGTCCAAATACAGATCTCTGCCAGTCAGTTAGCAGGTAGCTATCTTCCAAATATCTTGGCATAACCAAGTGAGTGGCTCCAGTGGGGCACCTGTTTGCTGAAACATCTCAGTAGGTATTCCATCAATTCCTGGAGCCTTGTTCTTTGCCAGTTCCTTCAGTGCAGCTTCAACTTCTTCCTTCAGTACCACTGGTTCTACCTAGATCATATCCCACCTCTTGAAATGGATGAACATCGACCAGTTCTTTTTGGTACAGTGACTTTGCATATTCCTTCCATCTTCTTTTGATGCTTCTTGCATTATTCAGTATTTTGCCCATAGAATCTTTCAATACTGCAACTCGAGGCTTAAATTTTTTCCTCAGTTCTTTCAGCTTGAGAAATGCTGAGTGTGTTCTTCCCTTTTGGTATTCTAACTTTGCACATTTCATTACAGTAATTGACTTTGTCTGCTCGAGCTGCTCTTTGAAATCTGTTCAGCTCTTTTATCATGTCATGTCTTCCATTTGCTTTAGCTACTCTCCATTAAAGGGCAAGTTTCAGAGTCTCTTCTGCCATCCATTTTGGTCTTTTCTTCTTTTCTCATCCTTTTAATGACCTCTTGCTTTCCCATGGATGATGTTCTTGATGTCAACCCACAATTCTTCTGGTTTTTGGTCACTGGTGTTCAATGCATCAAATCTACTCTTTAGATGGTCTCTAAATTCAGGAGGGATATATTCAAGATCATATTTTGGCTCTCATAGACTTCTTTTCATTGTCTTCAATTTCAAGTTGAACTTGCATAGGAGCAGTTGATGGTCTGTACCACAATCAGCTCCTGGCGTGGTTTTGGCTGAAGATACCTCTTGCCACAGATGTAGTCAACCTGATTCCTGTGTAGTCCATCAGGCAAAGTCCATGTGTATAGCCACTGTTTGCGTTGTTGAAAAAAGGTATTTGCAATGACTAAATCGTTGGTCTTACAAAATTCTATCGTGCGATGTCCAGCATTATTTCTGTCACCAAGGCCAAATTTTTCAGCCACTGGTGATTCTTCTTTGTTTCCAACTTTTGCATTCCAGTCTCCAGTGATAATTAACACATCCTGACTGCACGTTTGGTCGATTTCAGACTGCAGAACTTGATAAAAATCTTCAATTTCCTCATCTTTGGCTTTGGGGGCTGGTGCAGAAATTTGAATAAGAGTCATATTAACTGGTCTTCCTTGTAGGAGTATGGATATTATCCCATCACTGACAGCATTGTACTTCAGGACAGATCTCGAAACATCCTCTGTGATGATGAATGCCATGCCATTCTTCTCTAAACTGTCATTCCCAGCATAGTAGATCATATAGTTGTCTGATTCAAAACAGCCGAAACTGGTCCATTTCAGCTCACTAATGCCTAGGATATCAATCTTTATGCGTTCTATCTCATTTTTGACAACTTCCAATTTTCCTAGATTCATACTTTGTACACTCCATGTTCCTGTTATTAATGGACATTTGCAGCTGCTTCTCCTCAATTTGGGTTGTGCCACATCAGCAAATGGAGGTCTCGAAAGCTTTACTGTATCCATATCAGTAAGGTTGGTCCTACTCTGATGATGTAGCTCTTTCCTAGTCAAATTTTGAAAGCCTTCTGACCTAAGGGGCTTGTTGCCCTGCACTGTACTGGATAATGTTCCCAGGCTATTCACAAAGTTGTGCAGTAACGTATCAGAAAGTGTTTCTCTGCTATTCATAAGGTTTTCCCTGGCCAATTCTTGGAGAAGTGGATGGCCTCTTCCTTCTTCCTAGTCTGTCTCAGTCTGTAAGCTGCATTGAAACCCGTGCATGATGTGCAACCCTGCCGGCACTGGAAACACGAGTAGCAAAGCCTCAAGCCTCACAGCAACACGCAATCCACAACAGTATGACAACTGACAGACAAGTTTGTCTCACTTAGCTATTCAAAACCTCTCCACCCTCCCCTTACCTATATCCCTGGCGCTGCTCTGCTCTGCCATCACCTCTGGTTTCTCTTTCCCCCACTTCCCTAGCTGGTGGGGGTGAAGCCTGGGTCCCTCCTTCCCGTTACCTGGATGCCTGGCTGCTGCTCTGCTCTGTCGTCGCCTATTTACTATAGTGCTTTGAATATTACCTGACTTTACAGGTGCTTCTATACTAGTATAGCAAAAAGAGTACTGGGTTTGGAACCAGAAAATGTGGATATAAACCCCCAAGTTTCTATCACTATTCTGAGCTTCAGTCTTTTCATCTATGGAACACTTCAACTCTGTAAGGACCACACTGACATAACACATTCACATGTGTTAACGTGTGAATTAAACACCACTGGAGCTACACCGTCCATACTTCGTAAGTATGTATAACTTTGAATGTTCGGTGGCTTTCTAACCTAACCTATAGACAGAAACTATTTCATGTACAACAGGAAAAGGAATGGGATGCTCCACAAAACTGAATGCCCAGATAACAGAAGATTATCTCTTTAAGTGTCATAGCTTTTGGTTTTTACCCATTTCAATGAAAATCTTTCTAAAGTATAATTATAAATTCCCTTCTTACACATAAAATATCTATCTTTTAACTTAGGGTCAGCAATATGAATATCAATTATTCTACTGCAATATAATACTAAGCTTATGTGTTACAGATGTGTAAGTGATGTGCTTTCATATTATGCCTGCTTTTGTATTTTTCTCTCTTTCTATCTCCACAATCAAACTATCAAAGTATTAACACATAGTCTCTTACAACTCTATCCACTTTCATTTGCTACTTCTAACTTACTACCTCCTGGGAAACAAGGTAATAGTAAACAGATTCTTTTTATGATATGAGTTTTGGATGCCAAGGGGACCTTTGTGTGTCTGTGTCTGTGTGTGTGTGTGTGTGTATGTGCACATATGTCTGGCTTCCTTCACCGAGAATAATGGGTTTTTTATTGTTGTAAAGACATACATAACACACCATTTTCCAATTTGACATTTTTTGTGTGTACAACTTAGTGATATCAACTACCTTAATCATGTTGTGCAACCATGAAGGGGGCCCTTTTCAAAGGCTGACTGAATGGCAGCTGTGTTATAGCTCTCTGAGGAGGCTAGATAAATGGATGATTAGCAGATCATCTCATACTCTCCCAATCATATGCTCATGTTTTCAAAAACTCCTGAGGAACTACCTGCAAGCCCCACTGATGACCCAGTGATGCAGGTCAATAATACTACCTTCATATATGAATAATAATAATTCTTATCACCCATGAAGCACCTCTGTGTCAGGCACTAAAAGAAAGTATTTGTAATAGAATGAAAACCATCCTGAAAACTGTTCTTAAGCAGCAAAACTTACCTGCAACAAAATCAAACAGATTTCCAGATTCAGCTTTGCCAGAAATACTTTTATGTAACTCTGATAATATAAGTAACTGGGTGACTGGTGCAGTTGTCTGCGCTTTAATAAAAAGAATGGCTAATAGAGCTCCATAAAATCAGGAATATCTGAACAACAGTTTGAGACTGACAATAGAACTTCTCAAAATATCTAAAAATCTGATCAATGAACAAAAGCATTCTTAGTAGTTCTGTGCAAGCTATACAATCATGTTTCTTTTCCATGTACTATTAACTCCAGTTTATAAAGACTAGAGTATAGACTACAGAATGAATAACACAGTAATAACTATATATGATGTTCAAGAAGTCTACCTCATTGAACTGCTGGAACAAAACAGATGGCAAAAAATCCTGAGGCTGTAAGTCAACAGGAGGCCCTGTCCAGTTACTCTGAACAAAAAGCTGCAAACTGTTCACACCAAGAAGAAATATCAACTGCTGCCTGCAAAAGAAAGAAATACACAGAAACAGTTTTCACTGTATAACCTCCAACACAGTATTTCATTTCAAATTTATTAAAGAAAATGTAACATAAAAACTGACACTTGTTAAAACTATCCTGGAGTATTAAAAATAAAAATTCTAAAAGCTAAACAATTTAGGTCTACACTACTTAATATGGTAACCATGAGCCAAATATGGCTCTTTTAATTTATTTTAATTAAAATTAAATAAAAATTCACTGTCCACATTTCAAGTATTAAATAGCCACATGTGACCAGTGGCTACAATAATGGGCAGCACATATATAGAACAAACACTTCCATTATCACAAAAATTCTCTTGCAGAGCACTGATTTAGACTCTGCTCAGGCTCCTATAAGTTTTCTTACATTCTATTTAACAGCTCTGACACTGTAAGAAGATGTATAAAACACAATATTCCACAAAAGAAAAAGCTATTGCTAGCATTTTACTGATCTTGTTTCACCACCTGCTGAAAAAAAAACACTGCCATCGAGTTGATTCCAACTCATAGCAATCCCACTGGGTTTCCCAGGCTGTAAATCTTTACAGAAAGATATTGCCTCATCTTCTTCCCACAGAGTAGCTGGTGGGCCAACCTTCTGGTTAACAGCCAACAAAAAAGACCCCTAGAAATTGCAATTCAATGTGCTTTGGTTAAGACAGGGTGGGCAAACTTTTTATGTAAATGTTGTTGTTGTTGTTGTTATGTGCCGTCGAGTCGGCCCCGACTCATAGCGACCCCTCCTTGGGTTTCCGAGGCAGCATCACTACGGAAGTAGGATTGCCCAACCTTCCTTCCGAGGAGTGGCTGGTGGGTTTGAACCGCCAGCCTTCTGGTTAGCAGTCAAGTGCTTTAGCCACTATGCTACCAGAGCTCCTTTAGACAGTTATTAAATATTTTAGCCTTTGCAGGTCATAGACTCTCTAACACATATGCTTTTTTTCTTTTTTCAATGCTTTAAAAATATAAAAACCACCCTTAGCCACTCTACATGGGCTATAACTTGCCAAACCCTGATTTAAGATAAATCCTGGAGTTTCATTCTGAAGAAAAATGTTAACAGTAGTCACTTTCTTCTTCCCATACTCTTTCAACCCTTACCTCAAAAGAAAGATTCTTACTGCTAGATAGATAGAGACAAGTATTGATTTGGGTGCAGGGAAAGGCAATGTACCAAATGTGAGCGATCAACATGGTGGCACTGAGAAAAGAGAAAGACACAGAGAGGTGTATGAGAGGTACAGACAACAAAGATGAACCCTTTTGCACATACAGTATTGCGTTGTCAGGGATAGCAAGCATTGATATATGGGTGGATAGATGGGTAGACAGGCTGAACGAGGAGGTACGTCTCTGTAGGTATGTCTTGTGCCCAAGACCGCATATAGGGTTGGCAGACAATATTTCTACAAGTATATCTGTATGTTCTATAAGAATTTCCAGGTATATAGTAGAGCTGACAAGGGATAAGATTGTAATCACTTCTTGGCCATAGCCAACTACCCAGAGGAAGAAAGCAGATGGACCTGCGGGCTTGGGACCACGATTGCAGGGGACATCACACTCAATTGGCATTAACAAAATACGCCAAAACATTGTTCCACATCCTGCTTTGGTGAGTAGTGACTGGACTCTTAAAAGCTTGCAAGCAGCCATCCAAATGCAAGAATGGGTCTCTCCTCGTACAGAGTAAAGATGAATGAAGAAAACCAAAGATGCATGAAAACAATTAGTCCAAGGGACTGGTACACCATGCAATTCTCAGCCTATATGACTATGAGACCAGAAGACCTAGATGGTGTCCGGCTACCAATGTCAACCACTCAGAGGGGGATTTATGTAGGAGATCCTGGATAGAGTGGGAGAACAATATGTAGCAAAACTCAAAATCACTTAAAAAAAGTGGGGGGGAGGGTCCAGGTTTGCTGCTTTACTAGAGCCTGGTGGAACCCCTGAGGCTATGGACTCTAGCTGCCCTTCAGGTCTGGAATTGAACTCACACCTGTGGCTTCCAGCCAAACAAAAGGCAAGGCATATGAGCTGAACATTTACATTAAGTAGATACAGTCCTTGGAGAGCTCAATTATAAGAGAACAGAAGGGCTGTGTATGCACAGGGAGAAAGCTCAAGCGGCAGGAGTGCATGGGAGGAAAGGACACAGGGAAGAGGTAACTATGGGGAGGAAATAGGAAGAGAGCTGTTGCATCACAGGAAATTGCAGTCAATGTCATGAGACAAAGTGTGCGTGAACTGCTGAATGGAAAATGAATTTGCTGTGTAAACCTTCACCCAAATCACAATTAAAAAAAAAGAAGAAAGAAAGGTTCTTCAGGAAAAAAAAATATCAAACCCACAAGTTGGAAAGTAAAGCTCTGGATGCAGCACAACTGAGAGCAGAGGCAAGAGTAAGAAGCATCAGAGAACACAGATAACAAAAGAGCCTGCGTGTAGTCAGAAGTTAGGAAATACGGGGAAAATAGGTGTGTAACAAGATCTGAAAGGCTTAGTATAAGTGTTCTAACTGAAAAACAAATCTTTAAGATTAACTGATAATACAGTTCAATTTTCAAATACTTCAAAATAAGGTACCTGAAATGTCTTTTCTCAGCTCTCTGCAAAAAGCTGAAATTCTATCTACCAGTGAACAACGAATCTGTTGGCATATGTACATTTTCATGTTCAGCCACAAGGCTAGTTGCTATAACAATGCACATATTTCAGAGAGCAACAAAAGAGTCAAGCATAACAATGTAGAAATGTAAAGTAGAAGTAAAATTAAAAAGGAATGATGAGATTTTTTTTAATAATACAAAAAGCCTATAGCAACATTCTCATGTCTCTGAGTGGTGCAAACAATTAACACTCTCACTGCTAACCACAAGGATGGATGTTCAAGTACACCCACAGGCACCTTGGAAGAAAGACTGGCGATCCACTTCTGAAAAATTCAGCCACTGAAAACCCTGTAGATCAGAGTTCTATTCTGACACACATGAGGTCACCATAAGTTGAAGTTGACTCATTGGTAATTGCTTGGGTAACATTCTACTGTGAACTCCTTAAGGATACAGTTGTGACTTACTCATTTCACAGCCTCAACACCCAATACAATAGTTGGTTTATTTGTTAAAGGCCTAAATGGAGCCATTCCCTAAAAATAATGGTAAAACAAAATTGCATTCACTTTAAAGATACCTAAAACTTGAGATACCAGAGATAGAGAAGGAAAGCGAGAGGTGTATTAATATTAAAAAATTGACAAGAACCAAATAATTGAAACAGCACTGAAAGACAGGTTTTACTGCTGTGTAAGTACCCAGGACACTTAACACTATGAAATTACATAAACTACACAAAATCTGTTGCTCTCAAATCAGTTCCAACTCACAGTAACTCTATAGGGCAGAGTAAACTGGCTCCAACGGTTTCTAAGGTTGTAAATCTTTATGGAAACAGACTGCCACCTTTGTCTCCTGTGGAGTGGCTAGTGGGTTCAAACCACCAACCTTTTTGTTGCAGCCTAGCAATTTAACCTCTGCATCACCAGAGCTCCTCAAACAATGTAAACTAGATAATTATTCTCTAATATCTAGAAAAAATAATAATCTAAAACATAATAAAAGTAGTTACAAGTATCACTCAGTAACCTAGAAACAACAAGATTGAAGTGTATGTTTTCAAGTTAAAAGGAAATAAGGTCCAAAGATTTGCCTGTGGCTAAAACCTACCTACAAGACTTAAACATTTGAAGACACACTGCATTAGCAGTTACCACTCTCTTATATACCTCGTCTCATATGTGAAACCCTTATATGCTACACCCTTTTACTGGTTCATTCTAGAAGGACCTCTGGGAAGGAGTTCTTTACACAGATTACTTGGTACATCATACTAAAAACCAAACCCACTGCCATCGCGTCAATTCTGACTCACAGCAGCTCTCACTGAGTCCAAGGCTATAAATCTTCACAGAAATAGATTGTTTCATCTTCCTCCAAAGGAGCAGCTAGTGGGTTTGAACCTCCAACCTTCTAGTTAGTCAAATGCCTTACTCACTATGCCATCAGAGCACCTTGGTACATCATAAGTAATGATTAAATGTAAAGTTAGTTTTTCAACAACCCCAAACATCTGTGCCATACACTGTCAAAGCACTATTAAATGCATTCAGAATCTGTTTTTCTATGCAATTTTCAAATAAATTACCTTTCACTTTTCTCCAAATCTGTTGAATAATCCAGGAATGTTATTATTCGCTTTTCCAGGTAGTTGTCAATCTTTTCTTCGGCCATCATTGTTGACTCAAAGATATTTTGAGTTAATGAATTTAAGAATACAGCCTCATTGTTCCCTTCTAGCAGCAATTTTAGGAAAAATCCACTCTCTGTAATAGAAAGAATTAGTCCAATGATCCAAAAGAACATTTTTTCAAACTATAAAGAATAGTAACACTGTTAGGTAAATATAAACCACTTTAGTATGAAATACACACACACACACACACACACACACCAAAAACAAACCAAACTCACTGCCATTGAGTCGGTTCCAACTCATAATGACCTCCACTGGGTTTCCAAGGCAGTAAATCTTTATGGAAGTAGATTGCCCAGCCTTCCTTCCACAGACTGGCTGGTGGGTTTGAACCACCAACCTTCTGGTTAGCAGACAAATGTCTTAGGCACTACACCACCAGAGCTCCATACACACACACACACACACACACACACACACCACTTGTCTGTCAATTTGTGGTGACTTGTGTGTTGCTGTGAGGCTAGAGGCTATGCCACCAGTGTTTCAAATATCAGCAGGATCTCCCATGGTGGACAGGTTTTAGCGGAGCTTTCAGACTAAGACAGACTCAGAAAAAGGAACGGGCCATACACTTCTCAAAGAATTGGCCAGCAAAAACCTTATGAATAGCAGTGAAACACTGTCTGATATATTACTAGAAAACTTATGAATAGCCCTGAAACTGTCCAATACAGTGCCAGAAGATGAGCCCCTCAGGTCAGAAGGCATTCAAAATACTACTGGTGAAAAGCTGCCCCCTCAGAGTAGAGCCAATCTTAATGATGTGGATACAGTAAAGCTTTTCAGGACACCCATTTGCTGATGTGGCATGACTCAAAATGAGAAGAAACAGCTGCAAACATCCATTAATAACTGGACCATGGGAATGTACAAAGTATGAATCTAGGAAAACTGGAAGTTGTCAAAAATGAAATGAAATGCATAAAGATCAATATGCTAGGTATTAGTGAGCTGAAATGGACCAGTTTTGGCCATTTGGAATCAGACAACCATACGATCTACTATGCCGAGAATGACAAAATGAAGAGGAACAGCATGGCATTCATCATCACAAAGAATGTTCCAACATCTATCCTGAAGTACAATGCTGTCAGTGATAGGATAATATCCATATGCCTACAAGGAAGACCAGTTAATACTACTATTACTCACATTTACACACCAACCACCAAACCCAAAGATAAGGAAATTGAAGATTTTTACCAAGTTCTGCAGTTTGAAATTGACTGACAATGCAAAAAGATGTGTTGATTATTACTGCTGATTGCAATGCAAAAGTTTGGGAAACAAAGGCGAATCACCAGTCATTGGAAAATATAGTCTTGGTGACAGAAACAATGCTGGAGATCACATGACAGAATTCTACAAGACCAACAACTTATTCATTGCAAATACCTTTTTTCAACAACATAAACAGAGACTATACATGTGGACTTCGCCAGATGGAGTAAACAGGAATCACATGTACTACATTTGTGACAAGAGAAGATGGAAAAGTGCAATATTTTCAGCCAAAATAAGGCCAGGAGCTGACTGTGGAACAGACCATCAACTGCTCATATGCAAGTTGAAGCCGAAGCTAAAGACAATTAAAACAAGTCCAAGACAGCCAAAATTTGACCTTGATTTATATCTTTCCTGAATTTAGAGACCATTTAAAGAATAGATTTGATGCACTGAATACCAATGACCAAAAAACAGAGGAACTGTGGGATGTCATCAAGAACATCATCCATGAAGAAAGCAGAAGGTCATTAAAAAGACAGGAAATGAAGAGAATACCAAAATGGATGTCAAAAAAGACTCTGAAACTTGCCCTTGAATGGAGAGTAGCTAAAGCAAATGGAAGAAATGAAAAGATAAAAGAGCTAAACCGAAGATTTCAAAGAGCAGCTCGAGAAGACAAACTCAATCATTACAATGAAATATGCAAAGACTTGGAGTTAAAAAACCTAAAGGGAAGAACACACTCAGCATTTCTCAAGCTCCAAGAACTGTCAGATGGATCTTAGCTGAAAGCAAAGAATTTTTTTCTTTCTTGTGAAAGATATTTACTTGTGTTTTATTGACTATGCAGAAAGCATTCGCTTGTGTGGATCATAACAAATTATGGATAACATTGAGAAGAATGGGAATTCCCAAACACTTGATTGTGCTCATCAGGAACTTGTACATAGACCAAGGGGCTGTCTTTCAAACAGAACAAGGGAATACTAAATGGTTTAAAATCAAGAAGAGAGTGTGTCAGGGTTGTGTCCTTTCACCAACTTATTCAATCTGTACACTGAGCAAATAATCCGAGAAGCAGGACTATATGAAGAAGAACGTGGCATCAGGATTGGAGGAAGACTCGTTGTATTAACAACCTGTGATAGATGACACAACTTTGCTTGCTGAAAGTGAGGATGACTTGAAACACTTACTGATGAAGATTAAAGATTTCAGTCTGCAGTATGGATTACATCTCAACATAAAGAAAACAAAAATCCTCAGAACTGGACCAATAAGCAGCATCACGATGAATGGAGAAAAGACTGAAGTTGTTAAATATTTCATATTACTTGGTTTCACCATCAATACCAATGGAAGCAGAAGTTAAGATATCAGACAACATATTGCCCTGGGCAAATCTGCTGCAAGAGACCTCTTTAAAGTGTTGATGTCAAAGATGTCTCAATGAAGGCTAAGGTGTGCCTAACCCAAGCCATGATATTTTCAATTGCCTCATATGCATGTGAGAGCTGGACAATAAACGAGGAAGACTGAAGAAGAGTTGATGCTTTTGAGTTGTCAAAGAATACTAAAAGTAGTACCATGGACTGTCAAAAGAACTAATAAATAATAAAGGAAAAAGAGCAGCCGGAATGCTCCTTGGAAGAAAGAATGGCCAGACTTCGTCTGACCTACTTTGGTCATGTTGTCAGAGGGCACCAATTCCCTGGAGAAGGATATCATGGTCAACGGAAAAGGAGAAGGCCCTCAATGAGATGGACCGACACAGTGGCTGCAACGATGGGTTCAGGAATAGCAAGGATTTTGAGGCTGGCACAAGACGAGACAGTGTTTCGTTCCATTGTACACAGGGTTGCTATGAGTTGGAGACGACTCGACAGCACCTAACAACAACCACCACACACGCACACACATATATTCGTATATACGTGTGTGTGTGTGTGTGTGTGTGTGTGTATATATATATATATATATATATATATATATATATACACACATTTAGAATGCCTTTTGTACCTTAATCACAAAGCACTGAGCAAATCCTCGTCATTCTACAAACATTACATCTTCTAGAATTAAGAGCTCTACCATATTGATAATGACCACCTGCCAAAGGGGCATAGAGGCTACATCTTCTGACCTCCCCTAACTCCACAAAAGGAAGACAGACTCACTATCAGCAGCCCAAGGCCTATTGCTGCTAGGCCAGACATAATACCTCCCTCCAGCCATTTCACCAACCCTGAAACCAACTGTCCCTCCCACAGCACTCACTACTTCTCTGCTAGGCTCAACAATTCATTGCAGTGACCACACAGAACTCACAGATTAGAGTTTATTAGAGAAGCAACTAGGAGCTCTGGTAGCATAGCGGCTAAGACACTTGCCTGCTAACCAGACGGCTGGCGGTTCAAACCCACCAGCCACTCCTCGGAAGGAAGGTTGGGCAATCCTACTTCCGTAGTGATACTGCCTCGAAAACCCAAGGAGGGGTCGCTATGAGTCGGGGCCGACTCGACGGCACATAACAACAACAACAACAACAGGGAAGCAACAAGCTACAACTCAAGTTCAGGAACGTGCTCTGTCTCTCTCAGCCGGCCATCTCTCAGGAGTGCATGTCTCTCTTATGTCTCTCAGCAGCGAGTCTTTCTCAGCAGGTAGTCAGAGAGCCTCCTTCAGTCCCTAGGATAGCTCCTTTTGAACCTGGCAGAGTGGTCAAATTAACCAATCACATCAGAATTTTATACATCTGAGAGAGAATGAACTTCCCAGAAGATTGCTTTTTGCCACTCACAAGAGAAATACCCCAGATGGATAACTTTAACAACCAGGAGCTACTCAGTTGCTCATGGCAAATTCCACCATGGAATTTACAAAGACTAAGGCTAGAAAAGCCATACTATGTAATTTACTATATTGCACCACCGAATAAGAAATCAGGCCCAGGAATAATATCCCTCATTGGTAAGCATTATGACCCTTCTGCTGGAAGAATCACAAAGATTCCTACTGACGATAGGAAAAGTGTCCTTGCCCAGGTTCTAAGATCGTTCACAATCTGGCTCTTCCTACTTACTATTTTACCTCAGGAAGTCACTCCTAGCATGCTGGCTTACTCATTTCTCCCTTTAATATCCTATGTACATTCCCCCTTGGACACCTTTATACTCAAGTTTTCTCCTGCTGAACTTTTCTCCACTTGTCAGTCTTACCTTTTAACGAAAAATTAACTCATCCAACTTCTTCCATGAAACTTTTCCAGATCCCACCGCTGCCTTCAAAAAATGCCTCCCGCCTAAACACCTACCTACTACGCGCGCACACACACACACACACACACACACACAGCATTTATATACTGTCTTAAATTGCTATTTCTCTTCTGGTCCAGCTTAAATCCCATAAGCTGTGCTTATATCCCACTAGTAAATACGCTTTTTAACTCTTTACCTACATCTCATCTGCAAAATGGGGATTAAAGGTAGTACCTACCTCAGATGGCTATTATGAAGATTAAATGATTCAGGCGCTCCAATAAAAGTAATTTATATTGCCACTGTTATTAGTGAACCTGGGTGGTGAGAAGTCTTGGGTAAGGACAGCAACTGAGCCTGAAGACAACGTTTAGAACGCAGCGATCCCAAAGCCTTGAGGATTTCTATACTATTGAGTAGGAGCTATGGTAGCACAATGCCTAAGTCACTTACTTGACTGCTAACCAGAAGGCTGGCGGTTCAAACCCACCAGGCACTCCTCGGAAGGAAGGCTGGGCAATCTACTTCCGTAGTGATACTGCCTTGGAAACCCAAGGAGGGGTCGCTATGAGTCGGGTCGACTTCACGACACATAACAACATACTGTTGAGTGGGTTGAAAAAAAAAGAAGAACGAGAACACGACCACCGCGACCCCTCCTCCTCACAACCCCAGGTGCTCTTCTCACCTGAGCCGACGACGCCTTCCTGTTTCCATTGCAGCTGATCAGCCTCAGTGGAGAAGCCCCGCAGAATTGCCAGTTCCGGGATCCACATCTCCCCGGACATCGCTACAACCAAGACGTGCTCCTACGAGGGTCACTTAGAAGTCAACAAAAGAAAATGAAAGGAGTAGGGTGCAAAGACGCCAAGTCTAGAGGCCACATTTACTGTGAATTCATCCACAGCCCTAAAAACCCATGTGTGGATACCAGCACAAGGAGGCAGCCATGACAGCAGCGCGGGGCACCCTGGGAAAAAACACAAACACTCAGTTCTGACTTCCGACCGGGAGACGAACGCCTTCCGGCTACTGAGCATGCTCAGTGTGGACTCCCCGCCCCGGGGCGGGGAATTGGGGGAAATAGCTTGTGACCGCCCCTGAGCAAAACCAGCCTTTGTGAAAGCGTGCTGTCCGGAGCTGTTGCAGCGGAGGCTATGGTGGGTTAAGACCAAGAGTTGGGCATAAAATGCAGCTCAAAACAGAAGTCCTGGCCCACAGAGTTCACTAGGCGGGTCTCGAGCAGTGATTCTTAAACTATTTTGCGCTGCGCGAGAACCCACTTGACTGCCTCTAAACTACTGTAATCCTTGTTCTTGCAAAATGTACGTGGGTTCTTACTGCCCAATATTTGAGAACCATTTTAGGAAGTTAAAGAACCTCTCAAGTGGAGTCGTGAACCCCCGGGTTAAGAACTTCTTCGTATAGCATGTGAATGAATTAAACTTTTTAAGGAAACTATCGGGTTTTCACTCTGCCACTACATAAATTATGACTAAGTGGGAAAGCTGGCCTGGCCTGTGGTTCAGGGAAGTTTTTGGAGGACGCGCTCTCAACCCTATAGGAGAGCTCCGAGGTAGAAACGAGAAGATTGGCAAGAGGTCAAAACATCCACTTGGTGTTGCTTGCACCTGAGTACACAGCTGTAACCTTATTAGCACATCCTTTAATTTTCATATAAGAAAAGGCTCTGAGGACCAGGTTTGCTGGTCCAATAGAGCCTGGTGGAACCACTGAGACTATGGCCCCTAGCTACCCTTCAGGTCTGGAATTGAACCCACACCTGTGCTTTCCAGCCAAAGTACCCGCATGTGAGTTGAACATTTACCTCAAGTAGACACATGCCCTCGAGAGAACAATCATGGGAGAAGGAAAGGCTGCTTATGCACAGGGAGACAGCTCGATAGACACTGGGAAGTGGTAACTATGGGGAGGAAGTGGGAGGGGAGCTGTTGCATTGTGGTAAACTGTGGTCAATGACATGAGACAAAGTATACATGAACTGCTGTATGGAAAGTGAATTTGCTCTGTAAATCTTTACCCGAATCACAATAAAAAAAAAAAGAAAGAAAGAAAAGGCTCTGAGCTATGGTGGTGCCATAGCTAAGACTTGGCAGGGCCGGATTTGTCTCGAGTTTGCCCCAGTCTCTTGATTGCAAAGCCTGTGAATCTCTTTCAAAGAGAAAGCTGAAGGGCAACATTCATCCCACAGGACTCTTGGCGCGATTAATGTGTAACAGCAATCTGAAAAGAGCCCATCAAAGTGCTCTTGTCCAAAAAGGAAGCAAAACATTTCTTACCTCCCTTCTGTAACCAGACAGTTGAGGGAAGACAGACTGCCAGCTCAGCACCAACAGATGAGGCTGCTAGTGAAGACAAATACAAGGAGATCTATGTAGGGAAAATAGCACCTATGAAAATTAGTTTTAAATTTTTGAATGATGTCACGGCTGGTGTGGAAACTGCAATAGCCAATAGAAATTGATCTTGGTGCCCACCCCACCTCAAGTGGCTCCAAGGCTTACCTGCCATACTTTAATTATGCCTCTGCTAGCAGATGCTCTGGAATGTCTTCTCATTAACAGCTATTTATGTAGGGAATAGTATTTTATCAGTGTGTCCTTTCAACAAAATTCAATTCTGCCTAAACTACTTGATAAACAAACAACAAAAAAAACTCACTGCCATCAAGTCAAATCTGACTCATAGTAAACCCTCCTTGGGTTTCCAAGGCAGCATCTCTATGGAACTAGATTGCCCAATCTTCCTTTGGAGGAGTGGCTGGTGCGTAGTTGTTAAAAATCAACAAGGAGCCTGGTGGTGCAGAGGTTAAGGACTGTCAAACCAACGGAGGTTCAGCAGGAGTAAAGACCTGGTGATCTTCTCCCTTAAGAAAAATACAGTCATTGCTACTAGGATGTTGTTGTTCTTGTTAGGTGTTGTCAGGTTGGTTCCGACTCCTAGTGACCCTATGTACAACAGAATGAAACACTGCCCAGTCCTGAGCCATCCTCACAATCCTTGCTAAGCTTGTGCCCATCGTTGCAGCCACTGTGTCAATCCATCTCATTGAGGGTCTTCCTCTTTTTCAATGACCCTCTGCTTTTACCAAGCATGATAACCTTCTCCAAGGAGTGGTCCCTTCTGACAACATGACCAAAGTATGAGAGATGAAGTCTAGCCATGCTCGCTTCTAAAGAATATTCCGGCTGTACTTCCTCTAAGACAAATGTGTTCATTCTTCTAGCAGTCCATGGTACCTTCAATATTCTTCACCAACACCACAATTCAAAAGCATCAATTCTTCTGCAGTCTTCTTTATTCACTGTCTAGCTCTCATATGCATATGAAGCTACTGAAAATGCTATAGCTTGGATCAAAACCTTAGTTTTCTAAGAGATATCTTTACTCTTAAGGACTTTGAAGAGGTCTTTTGCAGCAGATTTGCCCATTGCAATATGTCCTTTGATTTCTTAACTGCTGCTTCCATGGACTTGGATTGTGGATCCAAGTAAAATGAAATTTGTGACAATTTCAATCCTTTGCCATTTATCATGTTGTTCCTTATTGGTCCAGTTATGAGGACACCATGCCTCTTTAATTTGTCATTCCAGGCCTGGAAGGCCATATGATTGTCTTATTCAAAATGGCCAATACCAGTCCATTTCAGGTCACTAATACCTAGGATATCAATCTTTATGCATTACATTTCATTTTTGACAACTTATAAATTTCCTAGATTCATACTCTGTACAGTCCATGTTCCAACTATTAATGGATATTTGCAGCTGTTTCTTCTTATATTGAGTCATGCCACATCAGCAAATGAATGTCCAGAAAGCTTTACTCCATCCACATCATTAAAGTCAACTCTTCTTTGAGGAGGCAGCTCTTCCCCAGTTGTATTTTGAGTGACTTCCAAACTGAGGGACTCATCTTCCAGCACTATATCAGACAATATTTCACAGCTACTCATGAAGTTTTCCAGTAATATATCAGACACTGTTCCATGGGTACTCATAAGGTTTTTAGAGGCCAATTTTTAAAAAAGTAAATGGCCCCATCCTTCTTCCCAATCTGTCTTAGTCTGGAAGCTCCGCTGAAACCTGTCCATCATGGGTAACACTGCTGATATTTGAAATAGCAGTGACATATCCTCCAGCCTCACAGCAACATACAAGCCATGATGGTACAACAAACTGACAGACAAATAGTGGGAGTTGTATTTAGGGATGGAGATGGAGAAAGAAAACTTCTTTGAATAGAGGGAAACCCAGCAAGCTAAACAACAGGCATGCTTTCTAGCCACCACCCTTCAAAGATTCAGAAATTGGGAGGAAGACAAAAGGAAGGAACAAACAATCCAATTTAAAAATGGGCAGAAGATATGAATAGACACTTTGCCAAAGAAGATATTCAGGCAGCCAATAAACATATGAAGAAATGTTCACAATCATTAGCCATTAGAGAGATGCAGATCAAAACAACAAGGGGATACCATCTTGCCCCAGCTCTAATTGCAAAGTTCAACAAGCCAGAAAACAACAAAATGCTGGGCTAGAATGTGGAGAGATTGGGACTCTCATACACTGTTGACAGAACTATAAAATGAAACCACCACTGTGGAGAGCAGGATGGCAATTCCTTAAAAAGTTGAAATTAGAATTACCATTTGATATAGCAATCCCATTATGAAATTTTATTTTATTTTATTTTATTTTAATTTTTGCTTGGGGGCAGCTCTTTAGGGGCCTGAGGTAGTTGGGTCTGGGGTCTGAAGGTTGCTTTTCTCTTTGTTGTTGTTGTTAGGTGCTGTCAAGTTGAACCCAACTCATAGCGATCCCTGCTTGGGTTTCCAAGGCAGTATCACTATGGAAGTAGATTGCCCCATCTTCCTTCTGAGGAGTGACTGGTGGGTTTGAACCGCCAGCCTTCTGGTTAGCAGTCAAGTGCCTTAGGCACTATGCTACCAGAGTGCCCGCTTTTCACTTGGGGGTGGCTGTATAGCAAGCTTGGGCCTGAGGTAGGCAGGCCAGAGGCTTGGAGGCTGTTTTTCACTTGGGGCTGGCTCTGTTTTAAGGCCAGGGCCCAAGGTAGGGGGGCTGGGACTTGGGGGCTGCTTTTCACTTGGGGGAGGCTCTATATTAAGGCCGGGGCCCAAGTAGGTGGGCCCAGGGCTGAGGGCTGCTTCTTGCTTGGAGGAAGACCTCATTAAAGCCAGGGCCCAAGGTAGGTAGGCCAGGATTCAGAGGCTGCTTTTCCCTTGCGGGCAGCTCTATTTTAAGGCCATTGCCTAAGGTACACAGGTTTAGAGGGGTTAGGAACAACTAAAGGAGACAAACTTGTCTGTCAGTTTGTCATCCTGTGGTGGCTTACATGTTGTTGTGAGGCTGGAGGCTATGCCACTGTGTTGCAAACTGCCAGCATGGTTACCCATGGTGGACAGGTTTCAGCAGAGCTTCCAGGCTAAGATAGACTCAAAAGAAGGAACAGGTCATCCACTTCTCAAACAATCAGCCAGTGAAAACCTTATGAATAGCAGTGAAACAATTTCTGATATATTACTGGAAAACTGTATGAACAGCTGAGAAACATTGTCCAATATAGTGCAGGAAGATCAGCCCATCAGGTCAGAAGGCACTCAAAATTTGACTGGGGAACAGCTGACTCCACAGTGTAGAGATGACCTTAACAATATGGATAGAGTAAAGCTTTCAGGACCTCCATTGGCTGATGTGGTATGAGTTAAAATGAGTAGAAACAGATGCAAACATCCATTAATAATTGGAACATGGAATGTACAAAGTCTGAAACTAGGAAAATTAAAAGTTGTCAAAACTGAAATGTGATGCATAAAGATTGATATCCTAGGCATTAGTGAGCTAAAATGGACTAGTTTCAACCATTTTAAATCAGACAACCATATGATCTACTAGGCCAGAATGACAAATTGAAGAGGAATGGTGTGGCATTCATTGTCACAAAGAGTGTTTCAAGATCCCTCCTGAAGTACAACACTGTCAGTGATAGGATAATGTCCATACACCTACAAGGAAGGCCAGTTAATACTACTATTATTCAAATTTGCACACCAACCACCAAAGCCAAAGATGAGGAAATTGAAGATTCCTACCAACTTCTGCAGTCTGAAATTGACTGAAAATGCAATCAAGATGTGCTGATTATTACTGGTGACTGGAATGCAAAAGTTGGAAATGAAGAGTTACTGGTAGTTGGAAAATATGGCCTTGGTGATAGAAATAATGCTGGAGATTGCATGATAGAATTTTGCAAGAGCAATGGCTTATTCTTCGCAAATACCTTTTTTCAACAACGTAAGTGACAACTATACACATGGACTTCACCAGATGAAATACACAGGAATCAGATTGACTATGTCTGTGGCAAGAGATGATGGGAAAGATCAAATATCTTTAGCCAAAACAAGGCCAGAAGCTGATTGTAGAACAGACCATCAACTGCTCACATGCATGTTCAAGTTGAAGGTGAAGACAATTAAAACAAGTCCATGAGAGCCAAGATATGACCTTGAATATAACCCTCCTGAATTTAGAGACCATTTAAAGGATAGATTTGATGCACTGAACACCAGTGACCGAAAACCAGAGGAATTGTGGAATGACATCAAGAACATCATCCATGAAGAAAGCAAGAGGTCATTAAAAATACAAGAAAGGAAGAACAGACCAAAATAGATGTCAGAAGAGACTCTGAAATTTGCTCTTGATTGGAGAGTAGCTACAGCAAATGGAAGGAATTACAAGATAAAAGAGCTGAACAGAAGATTTCAAAGAGCAGCTCGAGCAGACAAAGCCAATTACTATAATGAAATGTGCAATGACCCAGAGTTAGAAAACCAAAAGGGAAGAACACGCTCAGCATTTCTCAAGCTGAAAGAACTGAGGAAAAAAATGTAAGCCTCAAGTTGCAATATTGAAATAGTCTATGGGCAAAATATTGAATGATGCAGGAAACATCAAATGATGATGGAAGGAATACACAGAGTCACTGCACCAAAAAGAAATGGTCGATGTTCATCCATTTCAAGAGGTGGCATATGTTCAAGAACCAATGGTGTTGAAGGAAGAAGTCAAAGCTGCACTGAAGGAATTGGTGAAGAACAAGGCTCCAGAATTGACGGAATAGCCATTGAGATTTTTCAACCAGTGGATGCCCCACTGGGGCACTCACTCAGTTATGCCAAGAGATTTGGAAGACAGCTACCTGGCCAACTGATTGGAAGAGATCCATATATGTACCCATTCCAAAGAAAGGTGATCCAACAGAATGTGGAAATTATTGAACAATATCATTAATATCACATGCACATACAATCTTACTGAAGATAATTCAAAAATGGTTGCAGCAGTGTATTTACTGAGACCTTCCAGAAATGCAAGCTGGATTCAGAAGAAGACATGGAATGAGGGACATCATTGCTGATGTCAGACAGATCTTAGCTGAAAGGAAAGAATACCAGAAAGATGTTTACTTGTGTTTTATTGACTATGCAAAAGCATTTGATTGTGTGGATTATAACAAATTATGGATAACATTATGAAGAATGAGAATTCCAGAACCCTTGATTATACTCATGAGGAACATGTACATAGATCAAGAGGCTGTCATTCAAACAGAACAAGGGGATACTGTATGGGTCAAAATCAAGAAGTGAGTGTGCCAAGATTGTATCCTTTCACCATACTTATTCAACTTCTATGCTGAGCAAACAATCCGAGAAGCTGGATTATATGAAGAAGAACACGGCATCAGGATTGGAGGATATGATAGTTGGAGCTC